GATGTCATATTCTATTTACAGGAAACTTGGATTGGGAGAAGTGAGGCCAACCACCGTTTCTCTCCAATTGGCAAATCGATCAATAACATATCCTAAGGGGGGTGGTAGAAGACGTCTTGATTAAGGTAGATAAACTGATTTTCCCAGTAGACTTTATAGTAATAGACATGGAGGAAGATCGGGAAATGCCTTTAATCCTAGGACAACTTTTTCTAGCAATGGGTAGAGCATTGATAGATGTTCATCAAGGGAAATTAATCTTAAGGGTAGAAGATAAGCAAGTAGAGTTTAATGTTTTTGATGCTAAAAAGCGTCCATCCGACTTTGACACATGCTTTGAGATTAGTGTCCTTGATAACATAGTGAATAAAAAATTAGAAGAAAAATAGCATAGTTCACCCCTAGAGAATTGTTTAGTCAACTCTAGGACTATGGAGGTTGACTTTGAGATGGTAGATGAACAACGATTAAAGCCCCATTTGAATGGAGAAATTAAGGATATGAGGGCTTGGATTCTCCTAGATGATCTGAATTGAAGAAAATGAAAAGTCAAGCTTACGACTTTAACCAAACGCTTTTGGGAGGCACCCAAGCTTTTTTTTTTTTTTTTTCCTTTTATTGATTAGTGTGTTATTTTTGCAGGTGTTAATTTTCAAGTATGTTTAATATTTTTCCGTTTAGTGTAAATAATTTTGATGTTGTGTTTGTTTCTCTAAATTCATAAATTTAACATGTGATGTGTGTTTCCGATGAGGTACACTGCAAGTTTCTTTGTTTTGACAAAATTAAAAGGCAACAATGGAATGAAACATACTTGCTTGAGAATTTGATTAAGGAAATGAGTTTTGGTGAAGCTTGCCATATTGACAAGCTTCGCAAAACTGAACTTTATTGATATTGTCCTTTACATTCAACGTTTGTACAAGGGAGTTAAAGACAAAGACATGAGGATGGCCTAATCTCCTATGCCATAAATCTCCTTCACTAACAGATGCTAGAGCTTGGCCTTTATTTCCTTCTGTGGCGGGTACATCACCGAAGTCTTGATGTCTAGTGTAATTATATAAGCATGAAAGTCCAGAAAAAGAGGTTTTAGCTTGTGATTGTTGTAAATGAGAAGACTGTAACAAGGTAGATCTTTGTTGTTGTCAAGCCCCATTTCCACTTGAGACGTCGAGTTGGTACAAACCATTGTGTAAGGATCCTTTAAGAAGCACAACCTAAGAAGTCTTGTCCTCTATAACACAATCATCAGCAGAGAACTCAACTAGCACGTTATTATCTCTTGTAATTTTAGAAATGCTCAGCAGGTTCTTAGTCACATGTGGAACACATTGTATGTTTTTAAGCTGAATAGATTTGTTCATACAAGAGGAAGGTAAGATTGTCAAACCTGTATGGGAGATGCCAAGGCACTGCCCATTCCCAACTTGTAGAGATTCAGTTCCAGTGTATTGTTTTTTGATTAAGAGATTTTGAAGATTAGGTGTTATATAATGAGTGGCACCTAAGTCAATAAACCAATTCGGATCCAAAACTGTTAGAGGAGTTGCTATCTAATTTGGCCAAGCTATTGCAGTCTGCTTTTTCAACTCACTTTCTCCTGAGTGTCCACAGTGCTGCTGTGACAGATTTGGTCTAGAAAAAGGAGAGCTTACTGGAGTGTTATTCTGAAAGAGTTGCTACTGATATGCCATAGGTGAAGAAGTCTAGTAAAATTGACTTGGAAAGTAATTCGAGTAACCAGGCTGAGTGTTTGCAAAGAACACTTGTGCAGGAGTTGTGGATTGAGTATGTTGTTGTGAGGTATTATACTCTGTTCCAAATTGTGGTCGGTGGTTCTGATTTCCTTGAAAGGAAGTGTCAAAGCGATGATAGCATTGTAAAGCCATGTGTCCATTCTTCCCACACAATTGACAAAATAGTCTAAGTTTGTAAAAGTTTCGACCTCTTCCTCTACCTCTGCCAAAATTTGGATTATAAGGTTGAAAACTTTGAGTAGTTAGGTAGGAGTGTTTAGGTTCATGTTGACTTTGGGAGTGAGGGTGTATAGGTTGATTTGTTTGTTGTCCTGAGTTGTTCAACATTGACGTGGTCAGTTAAGAGTTGGAAGGCTATTTGTTTGCCAAGAAGGCAACAGCTTCATGAAAGCCTATATAGGCAGAGTGTTGTTTCTCCAGTCTCATTTCGTGTTTATGTAATAGGAATTGTGCTTCCTGTAATGATACTTCACTACTCCTAGCAATTAAAGTGGCTAACATTGTATCATATTCAGTTCCAAGTCCATCAAGAATGTATAAAAGCAACTCTTCATCAGTTACAACCACACCATTGGTGCTCAAAGAATCTGCAATTTCTTTCATTCTAAGCACATAATCATTTATACTAGAGCTATCTTTCCTAGTCGTTTGTAATTGATTCCTTAAGTGTAAGATTCTAGCCTTAGAATCTGTAAGAAAATTCATCTCTAAGGTGTACCATATATCAAATGCTGTTTCACAATTAGCAACATGTCTGTACATAGTTTCTGAAATGGAAGATATCAACCAGCTAAATAACAATTGATCAATCATTTTCCATACTAACTGTTATTGATTAACAACCTGTTTTGATTCATCAGTTTCAGAGATAGTAAAGGTAGGAGGACAAGGTTTATCACCTGTAACAAAGCGTTCTAGCTTGTAAGCTTTCAGCACAGGAAGAACTTGTGACTTCCAGTAAGCATAGTTTCGTTCTCCTAACTTCACAGTGATGGTAGGTAGAGTGTTGTTTAGTGTTGAGACGGAAGCCGAATTCATTACCTTTCCTTCTGTGTTAAGGATGGAGGTGAGAGGTGTTTTAGGATCTGCCATTGACATATGTCAATAGCTTTGATACCATGAGAAAAAAAAAAAAAAAAAAAAAACAGAGCAGAAAAAAATCTGGAAATTGTTGTGTTTATTTTATCGTTTTGAATGAATGCTACAATGGCACTATTATGACTTATATACTTGAAGGTAGAGTACAAATTCTTGTCAACTTATATCTGCACCATTCATTCTAATACAAACAAACACAAAGGCTATTCATTCTTCACCATTCGATCATAACAGGAAGATTATGCTCTCTCTACTGCATGCAAGTTGGTTAACAAGTTGCTTTAACAAAATGCAAGTTGCTCGGCAAGTTGTTTTAACATAGTGCAAGTTGATTCTACAAGTTGCATTTCCAGAGTCATGAAGATCATATTTGAGCAGAGAAGAAAGGTAGTGTGCTTCTTATAAACCGTTGCTTGAGTTGAAGCTTGAAACCTTTTTCTGTCATGAGTATATATTCAAGAATTTCATCAGGCGGCTATAGCCAGTATGACAGATATAGAATACTAATTTATAATCATATCCATCACAAATCTAAAGCTTTTTCTTTACATATTAAAGAAATATTTATGATGATCATATGTTGAGATAAAATGGAATTAAATTCACGGACTAGTTAGCACTAATAATAAATTGATACGGCCTTATATGTAATTTAAAATTAGTAGAATTCTGTATGTACCACCATTTAGTTTATGCAAATTAAGTTGTTCATAATGTTATGGTTATGTTTTTGCCTTTGGTGACAAGAACAGTAAATCCGTGCTATGTTATTACTAAAACTATGTCATATATGTAATTTTTATAAAAAGAATCACATTATATATGATACATTATAATAAGATAAAATATAATTAAATAAATATAAAGCATAGCATTACATATATTTATCGAACAAACTTATTAATGAAAGAGTAAACAAATTCTACCAAAGTTTTTTTACATGATTAAATGAACAACATTATTAAGTAATTGGTATAGGTTTGAAAACTTTCAAGTAAATTAAATAGCCTCTAATTTATTGCTGGCTTATGTAAAATAGGCTGGAATGCAATCTCGTTATGCCATTATATATCTGTTTCATTTGTTTTTTTTCCTTGGAATGGAAGAGATGAGAAAAGGATTAATTTTTTTGAGTTTTTGTGCTTATATCTTTCTTCGTTCTATGCTAAATTATGTGTTATTTTATTTACATATATTTTTTTTGTTCTACCTAATATTTAAAAAAGGGATACATCGTATTCACTATTCAGTATTCCTTTCACACTCATAATTTGAATTCTTCATCTCTTATCTTAGTTAATTATTCTATCTAGTTTGGCAACAATAATATTTCCATAACTTTGGTTGAAATCGAGCTGGCAAATGGCCATTATTAATTATTCAAAGGACACTCTATTTTCCGAGTCAGTGTACATGCATGCATGGTTGTATTTTATGTTGCAATTAATCTTTCGAAGAAAAATCAGCTATAGTTATGAAATCGTGGGTGATCATGTTAGATGTATTATATCATTATTCATATTTTAGATACAAATTTCTTATATAAATAATCAAATCCATGTGTTAGGTATGATTAGATAATAATGAGTCAAAGGAAAGAGTGCAGATATAAACTCCTTATAAATATATAGTGATTTCTAGAGAATAACAACGGAAAAAAAAAGCTAATAATAATAAAATTCTTTTTTACAGGCTAGAATGCAATCTCATTATGCCATTATATATCTGCGGTTTTGAGGCATCAAATAAAAAATTACTGGTCCGCCGATCGATACAATTTTAGTATCCCTTACGATTTTGAATTGAATTTAAATATAGCCAAATTATTTAATTATTAAATAATCAAATTTCGAAAAAAAAAAATTGCAAGCTATTTATACTAAATTACTAATTCATGCCACCATTCGAGAAGGAAAATGGACTCTCTTCCAATTGGCGTACTAGCATTAGATAATTCTGCAACTTAAATTAGTCAACTCCATTTGCAAGGAATTGACTTTAAAATCTTCCAAATACAGCTTGCATAGAATATATCCAGTCTAACATGTAGATCAGAAAGAAGTGGACCCAGTCAAGGAGATAATGAAGGAGTCGTGGAGAGCCAATAACTTCACAACAGTATAAATATATCGACACCAGAGCAGCTATCCTCAAACCATACATTTCTTGCATTTCTTTCACATATATAGTTAGCTGAAAACAAGAAATGGGATCTACCAAACTCATTTCACTTCTCTTCTGTCTCCTGTTGATCGTCTCGACCTCTTCAGCCACTCAAAAAAAGAAATCACGCAAGCCTTGTAAAACGCTTGTGGTCTACTTTCATGACATACTTTACAATGGACAGAACGCGGAGAACGCAACTTCAGCAATTGTAGCTGCACCGGCTTGGGGCAACAAAACTATCTTAGCTGAACAAAACCATTTTGGCGACATAATTGTGTTCGATGACCCTATAACCTTAGACAACAATCTGCATTCAACCCCAGTTGGACGTGCACAAGGGCTTTATTTATACGACGGGAAACAAACCTTTAGTACTTGGTTTGGTTTCTCTTTTTTGTTCAATTCTACGGAGCACAAGGGTATTGTAACCTTTGCTGGGGCTGATCCATTCTTGGAAAAGACTAGGGATATTCCAGTGATTGGAGGAACTGGTGACTTCTTCATGGCTAGAGGTATTGCCACTTTCATGACTGATGCCTTTGAGGGGGAAGTATATTTTAGGGTTCGCGTTAATATCAGTTTGTATGAATGCTGGTGATTTCTTTGCCCTTTTTAATTCAAACAAACCATGATCAAGCATAAGAATAAAAAATAATGTATTATTATTTATTATTAATGTATTTCATAAAAAATAATGTATTGGCTCCAATTCACAGATTAATGAAATTTGAGTTGATAAATATATAATTCCATTATAATTTACAAGTTGTTCTTTATTTTATGAATTGTGTCTCTATCAGTTTTATGTGGGCATAAAGAAAACAAAACAAAACAAAACCTTAAATATTGGGATAGGTATTGTCATAACTTTGGTATTTACTACATGTATATAATTATTCGCGGTCTCCACCAAGAATCTTATCAGAGATGACTCTATAGAAGTGGCTTTAAATATATGCAAGAACTAGATGGCATGCCCACGCGGATTTATTTATTATATTGTTTTTATTTTATTATCGAATTTTTATATTTTAAGAAATTGTAAACGATTATTATTTCACAAAAAAATATGTCAAATATTTATTATAATAGAACATTTTGTTATTGTTCTTTTTTTTTTTTTAATTGGGTTTTTATGTTTAAAGATTGTTGAGAATCGTTATATGATTGTCATTTAGGATGTCGTTAATTGGTCCCTATGTTTGCTGCTTGTAACGCCCACTTTGAGGTACATCGTTTACTCAAGTTTATTTGCCTTTTAATGTTTATGTCAGCCTAAGTTAAAGGGATATGTGTTATTGTTGTTTTTATGCCCTTAGTTTTGCTTATTTCAAGGAGAAAGATTGAAAAATCGACATTTACAAACTTCGTCGCGGCAAAGGAATCTTGTTGCCGCGGTAATGAACTTTTTCCCAAATTAGTGTCAGAACTTCGTCGAGGCGAAGAACTCTCTGGATTTTTTCGCTGAGGTGAAGAACCGTGAGAAAATTCTAGCGAAATCTTCCTTAGAGGCAAAATGACCATTCCACCCCTAATTAGTTGAAAATGTGGGGAGTAACAAATAAGAAAATTTGATGGAGAATGTAATAAAGGTAAGGGCATTAGTGTAAATGACTAAGGGACAAAGATGAAATTTCCAATAAAGTGTAAGGGCAAAATGGGAAAGTATGCCTATAATATGAGATATTAAGGGTTCAAGCACAAAGACTCTATCATTCTCTACTCCCTCTCATGCCAACTTCACTCTCCATTTCTCTCATCTCTTCATCCATTTGCTAAAGGAAATTGAGGGCTTTTGGTTGGATTCTTATAAGGATTTGATCCTAAGCATCAAGAGGTAAGGATTCTTGTTCTAGACATATGATTAAGTTGTGTTAATGTTGAATTCTTATTAAGTTTATGCTAAGGTTTAGAGGAAGACAAGTCCAACAAGGATAGAGAACTTTTGTGCAATTCTTCAAGCATAAGGTAAGTAAATCCACCCTAACCCTTGTTTGAGCAAGTAAAGCAAGATTATTTTATCTAATTTTATATGAAGTCCATATGCTTGAGATTTGTGTATGAAACTTGTTATAGAGTTTGATGATGATCGATGAATGTTTTCTTCATGAACGGTTGGTTGAGTTGATAGAAGTTGGGTTGAATTTAGAGGGAGTTTAAGAGCATTTATGAAGTGTATTTTCTTGGCTAGATTGAGATGATTCAAGGGAGTTTACTCTCATTATGGATGGGGTCAGAAAGAGGAGAAGTATAGTTAAGTAGACTTGAAGTATGTATGCATTGTTTGATGAAATGCCTAAGAGAAGCCTATGCATAAGTAGAGAAACTTATTTTTGTGCGACATAGCATAATTGCACTAAGGAAGAAACATAAGCATGAGCCATCCATATGCATATACTTACATATCATGAGAACCTAAAGAAAGAATAGAAAAAGTAAGAAAGCACAAAGAATTAAGAAAGAAAAAGTGTTAAAGAAGAGAAAAGAATAGGTTGTTGCGATGGGAACTCGGGAGTACTAAAGAAGAAATTCCCATATACACGCCACCTTAATTGTGGCATAAGAAGAAGAATTTGTATGACCCGTAAGAGTGTATGTGGATGAGGGTTGTACCAAGAAGAATTCCTACATGCACACCACCTAATTGATGGCCTAGAAGAAAGAAAGAATTTGTACAGTTCGCAAGAGTGCATGTAGATGAGGACTGTACTCACTCACACGCCAACGTTCCGATCCATGCATCAACCAAGTCCGATCGGCAAAGAAAGAAAGAATAGAATAAGAGAGAATGAGAAAGCTTGAACAGCAAAGAAAAGAAAAAGAAAAGAAAAGAAAACAAGAAAGAAAAGAGGAGCTTGAGAAAGCAAGAAAGAAAGAAGAAAGAAAAAAAAAAATATGAAAGAAGAAAGAAAATGCATTTTCTATGCATTATTGCATATGCATTTCATTCATGCATATTACCATGACTTCTCTCATGGTTAGAAAGAATTAGAAAGAAAGAACAGAGAGAAAGAAAGAACAGGGAGAATTAGAAAGAAAGAAAGAGCAGTGAAAATTAGAAACAGAGAAAGGACTAAGAATGAAGAAGAAGAGAATTAAGTAAGGAAAGAACCAAAGAAGAAGTTGCGGGGATAGAAGAGATAAAGGATTTACTTACTGAGTATTTTTGTGCTCACCCCGTTGTTTCCCATGTTTTGCAAGAAATAGGTGAGCAGCGGTTGGAGGGACGTCGACAAGTGGAGAGAAATGACATTACTGTCCACCGTTGTAAAAGCTTATATATATGTTATTTTGCTATGTACAGAATAATATATGTTTAGTAAAGAAAATTTTTGGGCCCTTCTATTTTTCATTTGCTATAAATATACTTTTATCATAGTATATTTTTCTAAGTATACTAGTAGAAAGAAGTCATTACACTGCTAATTGGTGTTGATAAAATAGGGATGATTCACATGCATTCAATTAATGTATGCAGTACAGATCTTTCACATTCCTCTTTTAATTTGATAAAATGCAAGTGATGGAAGATTGAAATGGCCAGGTTGCAATTCAATAAGAATTGAATTAATTGAATTTAATACATAGAAGTTGAAAGTCCCACAACTTGTGAAAGTGGTTTTGACACAAATAAATTAATTAATTGATGTTGGAAAAAATACAGAATAACAAATATTCTAAACTAATCCCAAGATCATGTTCATAGTCACCCATTGCAATCACATTTTTTACATAAACGAATTACAATGTATTTACACAGCATAAATACCTCTTCTCCTTAACTCTGAAGCAAAAGTTGAATCTGGAGAGAAAACTATCGTAGAGTTTTTTTCTTTAACTATTTTCAGAGAGAGAGAACGTTTGTGTATTTCTTAATTCTAAAAGAAAAAAACTTTTCTTTATATATGGGCGACGGCCGTTAGCGAAAAACTGCCTTTGGTAGTTTCCACTTCACACATCATTTGGATTAATCCATCATGGGTGCTCACCCTTATCCAATATCTCCCATTCACACATGATGGGACTATCTCTCTCTGTGCTTCTTTAAGGTTCATACTTTAGTAAATATGTCGTGTGACCATGCATACTTCGAGAGCACATTAGTCATATATCTGTTAGGAATATATAAATTCTCGAATTGTGAAACTTAGGTTGTATGTTGTATGCAATACCCTAGATTACTTATCACATTTTTTCTAACAATCTCATTTATAATAAATATCCGTTGTATTCATTATTATGTTCTGTCTTTACATAAAAGTAAAACATAATTGGTCGACCAATGAATATACATGATTATAGTGTGATAATTCAAAATCGTAATCTTCCTCTTTTCTCAATTCTTGCAACTTTCATTTAACTTGCTTTTCTAGAAATGTCCCAGCAGATTGAATTTATCTTAATATTTTGGTAACACTCTAAGATAACAATCATTAAATGAGGTTTTCAAGAAACAGAATAGAGTAATAAGGGTATTCTATGAGATTTTATTCTTAAAATCTCAAGGTCTCACACAATGTTAAATTTGAGATTTTGACTTTCATTACCCCTTTGGTCAATGTTTTGCACATGTGGTATGAATCACATGCTACAGCATTTCCTCATTTCCCATGGAGTACATGTCTCTTTTCTTGTAAATGCTATACAGATTTTAGTTCATACCTTATGTCTAACTTGAGTTCACTTTACATACTTTTAATTCATCAGAACTCTCATCTATCAATTAGACAGATAAAGTGATCATTTATCACTTATGGTCACATTTCATTATGACATTATTTTAATTCTATTTTTAGGTGACGTTAAACATTTTAAGCTTGGCTCTCTATTATCACCTAGATAATAAGCTTAAAATCATCTCATCTCCATTCCTACGAAGTAATGGAGGCGATTGCGTGTGTGAGAAGGCCAATCTTTTAACTGTTCGACATGCTTTTCAAAATAGACATATATAATATTTACATAACTAATATATATATATATATATACTCTTTCATGTATGTTCCATAATAATCAAAATTAAGCATTGACAATATTGTTATTTAATATTGATAAGACAAATGTGAACAATTTTGGGAAATCTCAAAGTATGAGTACATTCAACACCTACATCAGCCTAGAGATCTAACATGTCTATTGAAAGTATCTCTTGGTATAGGCTTTGTAAATGAATCCGCAACCATGTCATGCGTAGATATATACTTCATGTTCACCTCCTTTTGTGCCACCAAGTCTCGCACAAAATTATATTTGATATCTATGTGTTGCATTTTACCATGATATTTGGGATCCTTAGTGTATGCTATTACTGCTTGACTATCACAGATTATTCTTACTGGTTCAATAGCAACATTAATTATTCCCAGATGATTCATGAACCGTCTCAACCAAACGACTTCTTGCACTGCAGCTGAAAATGCTATAAACTCAGCCTCCATTGTAGATAAGGCTATACGTGATTGTTTCTTACTGCTCCATGATATGGCCCCACCATTTAGTAAGAAAACATATCCGGAAGTAGATTTCCTTTCATCTAAATCTTCTCCCCAATCAGCATCGATGTAGCCTCTCAAGTGTAAATCATTTCCTTGATAACATAATGAGTAATCAGCTATTCCTTTTAGACATCTTAAGATTCTCTTCACTGCTTTCCAATGTGCTTGTCCTGGGTCAGACTGATATCTGCTTACCAACCTAACAGAATAACAGAT